CTTGCGCTCACACACATGCTATGCCAGCAAAGTGGCTGTGTTGACACAACAAATCAATTAAATGCATACAAACACCTTTCTCTGAATCCACGAGGAGTGAAAAGATTGGACACAACATTAAAACCCACAATGCATTGTATTGCAAAGGTTCCCTCCATCATCTATATTACGCAGGAGCTTTTCCCTCAAATTATGCGATCTGAAGATAAATCAAACACGCTCCTGTAACAGTGATTATGCACAGTGTTAGTGTCAGGACCTAGTGCTCACTGCCTAGTCTTCAGCATGCTGAACTTTATATGGGAGATTAGATTTTCATGACAATTAAGCACAAATTTTCTGGATTTTATACTTATGAGCTTTTAAAAAAAATTCCTGTTATTCACGTTGGTGATTTATTTGAAATTTATCATTTAAATGTTATTATTATTACATTTATTAATTAAAAATTATTTGATCAACATGGATGAAAAGAAATTCATTATGTACACTAACATTCAAAAGTTTACTGTCCATATTATTTTTTTTAAAGAAAGGACACATTGAATTGATCAAAAGTGACATTAAAGCTATTTATAGTTACAGAATATTTCTATTTTGAATACATTATTTTCTTTTAACTTTTTATTCATCAAAGTATTCAGAAAAAAGTATAATTGTTTCCACAAAAACTTTAAACGGCGCTACTGTTTTAAATATAAATATCAATAATAATAAGAAATGTTTCTCGAGCATGTGACACTGACGACTGGAATATTTTGAGTTGTATATATACACACTTTTTCAATTAATTATTATTATTATTATTATTATTATTATTGAAAAAATATTATTGTTATTATTAAAAACATTATGCTTTAATGTTACTTTATAGCTACTAATAAGTGCGTGTGTGTGTGTATGTATATATATAGCTATCATGTATGTATGATGTATGTAGCCATCATTTCAGAAGTGACAGAAATGTCAAATACAATAATTTTATGTAGGCCTATGAATGTATTATTATATATATGAATGTATTAATATTTTTTCCTAATGGCAATTTTATGATTGTTTTATATAGGCCTACCATTTCACTG